ATCTGCATATATTTTCTATTACAGCTATATATCTATCATCTTATATTTAAAATCCTTTTAGCAGCTTAAGTATAATAAATAGACTCAGGCATTTACAGTCATTCATAGCTTAATAACAACCCCCAGGCTTTTGTCTTTTCCTATAATCGACTTTTAAGCAATAATTTGTTTTTTCTCTCATTTTTCTATAGAATCCCATTAGCAAGACACAATTCACTGATTTCTCGAGTGTCCCGCAGTTGGTTTCTGCGCGACCAACTTTTTGAGTGGACTTCGCAACTCGAAACTCTTCTGCTTCTGCTGCTACTCCTGCTTCAGCTTCTGCTTCGCTTTACACTTAATCCGCTTTAAATATATTTTATACACGAACATAAAGACAAGTTATGAGCCTTAATGTGTGCCGTGCAGCAACCCTTTGCCCGTTCTCAAGTGATATCAAAATAGCTAGCGTAAAGCGAAAAAAAGGTGACCATACAAGACATAAAATGAAGCTTAAAATTAATTGAAATTGTAATTCGCTCTCAGTCATAAATCGCTTTTAGTACCCAGAAATAATAATAAGGAGTTGGAATATTTCGCCTTTGCATTTCACATAAAATGCATAATTGACGTAAATTTTGCTTTAAGCCAAAATAATTTGTGCATAATTTAAGCGCCGACGGCGCGTCGCAGCTGTGTTTGGGCCCACTTAATATGCAGGACACACATAAAAAAGCAGACGAAATGCCCGCACAATTTGCCCATTGGCCGTATCCTTTTTGAGAGCAGCAGCAGAAGGAGAGAGTGCAAGTGAAATGTTTATAATATGTTTTTAATTACATTTCTGTTTTTTTTTTTTTTTATTTTTTTTTTTTGTGGTAACGACAGCAATTACCACGACTAGCCAGCCAAGCCAAGAGCTGGCCATATTTTAAAGAACTTTACTGCACTCCATTGGTACCTTTATCTGGCTTGTCATTTGCATCAGGAGCACAAAATGCACTTTATCGGCCACGGCGGCGGTCATATCTAATCTCAGCTCACAAAGGAGTAAAGGCCCTTCAGGGAATTGAGCTTGGTCGAAAGTAAAAGCTATGCGCTGAAATTGTTCAAATCGCTTTTTTAGCAAAGACGTCTTCTATACCCGTTTACGAACAGAACGCGGGTATATTGGTTTCTGCATGCCCTAACTAGTAGACCGGATATTTGTTATATGATTTTGACGGGGATTTAGTATCCAAGAACTCCCATATATTCAGAGCTAAATTTGGTAGCACAATTTTTCCTACAGTTTAGCTATTTTAGCGACATGAACAAGCATTATGCAGTGTTGCATACCCGACTGTTCGAGCAGTTCTTAGTCGTAGTTCGTCTGCGATTTATCAGCGGACATTTAAATTCATAATTTTGTGGCATGCAGCATGAAATTTATTTAAATTGCTCAGTTGCAAGTGCGGCAGACAGCTTGCGGCAATGCACAGACAGACATACAGCTACAGACAAATATATATGTATATACATAGATATTTCGTGTGCAGCGAGCTGAAAAGGGAGAAATAGAGACAGCAGCAGCAGCAACAGCAACAGCTAATCCCAGGACGACGTTGTCCTGCAACGCTCGCTTTGCTGTCTGCAACTAAAATTGCGGATTATGCAAATAATTGCAAGCTGCAACAACAAGAAATAAAAAACAAAAAATAAAAAACAAAGTACAAACAAAACAAACAACATGAACAAAAGGAAAACGGAAATGTTTTTCCAATTTAGTTGCAAGGACATGCGTCACAAAAAAATTGCAATTATGCAACAGCGTGCTGCACTTTGTGGCATGAGGCAATTAAAAAGCACTGCATAAATTAGCAGAGACTCAAAACACAAAACACGAAAAAACCAGACACAGATGAGTTGTGGCAAATTCGTGTGAATTGCAACTTGCAGTTGCCGCCGCAAGCAACAGCAATAGGCAGAGGCTGAAGGGTGGCAGTGCACGAGTACACACAGACAATACACACATAGAGATACACACGCACGCTCAGACACACACCTAAGTGCACACACGTGCCAGCCAGACCAGCCAGTTTAATCCAACCCTCATGCACATGCATCATAATATGAATGCTGATAATAATTATAAAAACTAATACAGATGCTTATACAATTATAACTGCTAATAATACTCAATATACAAATGATTTAAAATTGAAAACGAATTCGGAAACTCAGCCTAATATTAATAGCAATGTCAATGCTGATGATAATGCTAGTGTTTATAAGCATATACTAATGCAATTTGATATAATGATAATGATATATGAACATATATATCGTAACATTACTAATGCTGTCAGGATTTGTAGCTGAAATTTATAAGAAAAATACTTATATGAATGCTAATGTTCATCATAATAACTCTCATTGTAATGATTATGTTAATCATGTGTATCTACAATTTATAATTTGCAGTACTAATGAATACGTCTAAGTTGATTTAAATGCTAATAATATTTAGAATTGTATTGGTAATGATAAGGGCAATACTAATGCCAAATCTATTGCTGTATAAAATAGTATTGCTAATAATAAAGCTATTGTAAAACTCATTGAAATTTTTACGCGCTAATACTAATTCCAATCTTAGTGCTAATGCTGCTTCTAAACATAAATAATATCCATGCTAATGCTTATAAATGTATATTATTTTTTAATATTTTAACAACGTTAATGCTAAAGACATTTCCGTATGTCGTAGCTTCTTTCGAAACCCCTATCATCAGCTGTCCCTCAACTTTGCGCACTTCATATCTGCACATGGTAGGGATTTACTCGCACGGTCCATTAGTTTCTAGGCAATCCAACGTCAGGGCTAATAAAAATGTGTTGGCATTTGAGAAACTGGTATTCGGGAGCAGCTTAACGGCGATTGTTTGGCTAACAAAGGGTTTAAGTAAACGTAAAGAACATTGCCTACAATTTCAATTGTATTCATTGTTATTATTTCTGCTCCTTTCTTCTCAATGCTGACAGCTTCGCCTCCTTGACTGACTTTTGCGTTGACTCGACACAGCAAATGGCGACGCCATGTGGCAAATTAATTGCTCAAAGCGGGTAGGCAACATAAGAAAAGGGATCAAGCTATGGCTCGAGCACAAGAAACCTGCGCAGTTCGAAATTTTGCGTCTTACCTTTAACCCAAAATGCGCAGTAGCAAAAGGAGACCCAGGATTCAGGACCTACAGCCCAAACATGTGCGCAGCAGCGATGTCAAAACTCAAATTGATGTGACATTTGAATAAAGAACTTGCGAAGCATTTGACGCAGAGACAACCGCAGATAAGCCGAAAGGCAAAGAAACAAAAGCAAACACCGTACGTCGCTATCTCTCTCTCTCTTTCTCTCACTCTATCTCTAAGCAAATGGAGAAGCAAATAGATGCCAAAACACTGAGCGTCAATGGATCACAATCAAGATTTCAATACAAACCAAACAATGAACGGCAGTTTGTTCACCTTTACAAAAGAGGTGTAGGAACAGAGCCAGTGGCAGGGGCAGAGGCAGAGGCAGAATTAGTAGCTATGGCAGTGGCAGCTTTTGAGCTGCCACCTCAAGCGGCAACTCAATTGAGTGTTGGTGCGCGGCGCATAAAAGCGAGAGCAACAACAGCGGCAATAAAAACTCTGCAATGCGCTAATAAAAAATACAAATTTAGCCATTGCTGCGTTGTTGTTTCTCTGTATTCCTAATAAAATGCGCGCGATCATAAAAGTTGGTGGCAAGAGCAGCGGCCAACGTGTCGTATGAGCAATCTGCGCTGTTGCAAATACGTTAAGGTCGCTACTAATAAACTTGCCCCAAAGTGCTTTCGGGCGCAATTTAATGCAGCGGAACTTTTGGCTAAAACTATTTTAACTTTTTTTCAGTTTTCGCTGTTTTGTTTTACAACTGCTTTTGGGCATCAGCATGCGACGTCCAACGTGCAACGTGCAGCGCGCAACGCACAACTGGCTACGTGCAACGTGTGTTGTAAATAAAAAACAGTAAAGGATGGCAAAAATTCATTTTAAGCACAGAGACAGAAAGAGAAAGAGAGAGAGAGAGAGAGAGAGAAAGAGCAAGTGACACAATTTGGTCTATAAAATATTTGAATGTTCTCGACGTGCAACGCTGCAGCTGCCAAGGTGCAACGTCATTCGTTCTGCCACAGTTGAGTTGATTTGTTAAATTCCTCATAAAAGCTGAACATAAAAATCTCCCAGAATTAAGCTATTTCTTTACTTTAGTGTATAGGATTAACTAAATATACAAAGCTGGTCTGATGACTCCTAGAAATGAAATAATTCGCTATCGCTGTATAGAAAACGGTTTTATAAATTCTATTCAAAAGATTTTTGCAGGTTCAGGTTTATCAACACTTCTATTTATCATTTACCAACACTTCTCTAAGTCTTTTCAATTTGCTGCTTATAATATTATAAAATATTAATAGTGTTTTATTTTATTAAGACTATTTTGCCATTTACTAACACTGAATTTTAAACATCATTTTTGTCTGACTGATTTTCTAGTTAAAACAACCATGAAAGTAGTTGCGATTTACCAACACTGTTTGTATCATTTAACAACACTTATTTAGAGCACCTTGTTTAGCCTCTACCAAAACGCATTTATAAACTCTATTGAAAATATACATTTACCAAAATAAGTTTTCGGACACATTTACCAACACTTCGACTCTTTCCCCCTTTCCATTTATAGCTCCCAGAATCTAATTACATACCACAACTTTCAAGTGCACTTGCAAACATAATTCTCCTTTACCCCCTGACCTTTGCCTCTACTTCACTCCGTTTAATTCCCAATTTTCTTCAATTCTAACCTCAAGTAATTAAGTTTCGAGTCCTTAGCTAAGCAAAAAGTATGCTTGATACCAGAACTTTTGAATAACTTTTGCCAGACTATGACCGTGAACACTTTTTGTTGCAGTCTATAAAGTTTTTGGTTTCTAGTTTCCGTTTTACACTTACCAAACTCGAAATGCAACATTAGATTTATGTAGAGAAAAGTCCACAACATACCTGCAAAGAGACAGAGAGAGAGACATGGAGATATTAATATCAATTAGAGTAGATTTTTGGTCATGTTGAAATTAAATTTTAATTAGTTCAGCAAAATATATAAATTAGAGCAGCTCGGACTGGACTGGGCTGAGCGGAGTGAAAGTATTCCTGCAGTTGAGTGAAAGGCAAAAAGAAAGAAGAAAAAACTACAAAGGCGTCGAGCAGCATTTTTCCATTACACATGAGACAGGATACAGAGAAACAGACAAACCGACAGGCAGACTTACACACGCAGACCAAAGGACCAAGCGAAGCATCATAAATATCACATTTGTGGCAGACATACACGAGCAACGAAACACACACACTCACACACGCTTGTCTGCCGCATTGTGTTTAGTGCTGCATAGAACGCAGCGCATTTGCCATTTTATGAGGTGCAAATAAAAAGTTTGCCATAAAAATACCATAGACATGTGTAAAAATGGCCAAACGGCGCATAAAAATGCATGTCTGCGCCAGCAAAGGAGTCAACAAAGAAGGGGGCGTATCCTTAGCTCCTCAGTTGCTCAACTCCATCTCCACCTATTCACTCCACACTGACGGCAATCGGAAATGGGCGTGGGCCCATGTAAGTATGCTGCCAAGCTGTCTGGCGCCCACAGCGCCACAGCGCGCACAGAGCAAAAAGTGAAAACTGCACTTTAAAGAAAAAAATTGAGAGACAGACAAATGCTTTAATTAATTTGATGCGGCCAAAAGCTGCCACTTCATCATCACGCAACACGTCATGCACAGGTGCAACAGTAGACAGAGCGGCAGGGCGCCGCAGCGGCTTGGGGGCTGCTGCAACTGAAGTGCAACGCTTGAAACGGTAATCCTGACAAAGCCAGTCACATTTATTATTGAACCCAAAGCTATTTGCTACGTGCCGCGGCAGGCGAGTGCAACAAATTATTAGCACACACACACACACACACACAGAGAGACACATGTGTTAAAGAAGATATATATGTAGACGGCAATCAACAGCTAGAAAATACCCATGCGGAATATTTATAAATAAGAGCTTATCAATTTTATTTAAATATTAGGTTTTTGCTATTCTTGGAATAGAAGAATAATTTATGATTTATTGTAAGACATTTATAGGAAAACTTTCAAGCAAAACTTATTAAAAATCAATACACCCACTTCCATTGCCATTACAGGGTATCCCAAAACATATGGCTAAGGGTGTTGCCTGTCAGCCATGCAATGCGTGAAAACAATATCGATGCATTGAAATTGATTTGCCAGTTGAGCTCCAGCATAATAAATAGTCAAAGCCACAGCAAGTGTTTGGCATTCGTCTATGCATTCAATTTATGCTCATAGTCAATGCATTCGCTGCGCGGCGGCAAAATGTATTCATGTATTCATGCATTCAAGCACCCACTCATTCAAACGGTAAGCTCTAAAGTGAAGCAGTCAGCGAGCGGGTCAAAATGAGTTAACAAACTTTAATTAGCCAGAGTAAATAAGCTAATTACGAACAGCCACAGAGACAAAACTTGTCCAAATCGAATTAGTTGTGTTTATCTAACTGATTAAATGCATTATTAAGTGTCTGAGAAGCGCAGAGAGCGGTGCGGACAGACAAATAGGGTAGGAGAAGCGACTAGAGAGGCGCGGTTAGTGAACTATATACAATTTGAAGTAACATTTCGATATATTAAAGCATTGTATAGAAATTCAGTTGAAGCAGGAGAGATACATTTATATATTTCTATATATATGATGTGTGAGAATTGTATGGAACGGCGCGCACATACTTAAAGCGCCTGGAGCGCCGTGAGCGCCTTTGAAGTATTGAAATTAAATTCATTTTTGTATCGCAAACACATATATTCCATATGAATCAATGAACGGAAATGAAGTGTAGACAGCAGCAACAACAACAAATAAAGTTGAGCTGCTACCTATTTTTTTTTCTCATCTCTGCTTCTACTTCTTGCCACTCAGTTGCTTGAACTGCCACAAAAACGCTCGTCGTCGACTGCATTTTACAAAAGAAATCGAATCGTAGCGACCAACTTTATATATATATATTTTTTTTTTCTTTATCAGCGTCGCGACATCAGCAACACGAAGCCAGTAGAAATGTTGGCAACAATTCGTGGCAAGACGCCGGCCCTTTGGACAGGACAACTGCTGTGAGGTGCAAATTTCTTATGCACAGACACACATACACACCTTGAAAAGACACACACACACACATGCAACTAACAAGCAGCACTTGGAAATGCCAAAGTCTACTGCCATGTCCTGAGCAGACACTTCGGAACTGGCCATAAAGGTGACAATAACTTAACGAGCAATGAACCTACACAGCCAACTTTTTGTTGTTGCTGCTCTTGACGTTTTGCTGACCGGCAACGATTTGGCGCTAGGAAGTGCCACTAAATTGTTGCAGATAACAAAACGGGGCAAGCGGCAGCCCAAGAATAAGGGAAATGCTGAAATGTTAGCAGCATGTGGCAACAGTCGCAGCTAAGACCAATTGCTAACTGACCTCCACAGTTAGCCAGTCACGGCACCTACTCGCTCACACTCACTCTCCTCCTCTCTCTTCCACTGTCTCTTTTTATTTAAGAGTCTTCGACTTTAAACATGCCTCACCGCCCAAACATAACTTAAATGTTGGCTGTTGTGCATTTCTGATCAGTCGCATTTAACATGTGCAGCAAACGCGTCAATTTTGGCAGTTATTTCGCATTGAATACACAGCACACATACACACACACATATGTACAGCTGGTACAACATTGCGTATGATAAATGGCAGTTGAACTACCTTTTGGATTTGCACGTGCAGAAAAAGGCAGCAGACAACGAACCCGCAGCCAGCAGGCAAACAACGTAGTGAAAGCAAACTGAAGAAAATGAGAGGAGAGAGGGGAGAGTGTGAGAGTGAGAGAGACAGCGGAGTATTTGCTGTTGTAGGAGCTGAGGGGCTTGCTCTTTAAGCCTGGGCATGCGAAATGAGCTGTTGAAATGGCAATTTAAGTGACTGTCGAGTAGCTGCTGAGTAGATGCCAGATGCCAGGATAAAAGCACAACACGCGAACAGCTATAGCAACAACAACAATAACAACAAGAGCAACGACAACAACAAAACAGGCAAACAAATTTAACAAAAATACAACAGAGTTGAAGAAAAATAAATTTATAAGTAAGAGAATTTTAAATACCCTTACGATATAAATACTACAAGTCTGATATTCCAAATGTTCATTAGGAAGAAGCCTCTCTATTCGCTTCTCATACTTGTTTATAAATTTTCTTTTCATGCATTTCTACTCAAATTGTTAGTGTGTCTCATCTCTTTAGTACAGTCTAAACTCTCTCTAAGCCATTACAAATTCGGAATACCCTATCTAAGCTAGAGTATATCAGCTGTACTTGAAAGCGCTGCCAAAGGGCGGGCAAATACAAATACTTTGCGGCCAAATGCTTAGGTGCAAATCATTTGCACTCACTGTCAGCCAGGCCGTCAGTCAGTCAGTCAGGCAGCTCAGGCGACCTCGGGCATTGTGCGAATGTATCTATAGCTATATTTGCAGCTTGTATATGTTGCCTGTTAGCTGTTGGCTGTTGGCTGTATCTGCAGCCTGTATCTTATAGTTTACAGTCTGACGCCTTTGCTGCAAGGCAGCGACGGCGCCGACAGCGGCGGCATTTGCTTTTCATTCATGATGGATGCATTTGTCGGAGGCGACATGAACACCACCCAAACACACACGCACACATACACACAAAAGATGTTCGGCTCAGACAAGGTAAGAAATTAATGCATCAAAGCGTCGCCAGACGACAACGCCCGCCGCTCAAGTGGAAAACAAAGTCGAACGCAGCATCCATCCAGGATGCGAATGCCAGCGAAAAGTGCTGAAGCGTAAGTAAAACGTTTGTCGCATCAGAACCATTAAAAAAATAAAAATAAAATAAAAAGAGAAATAATACCATTGAAATCATGTGTAAACAAACGCAAATACATGAAGCCAAAAGAAAGCAAAGCTAAGCAAACCAAACTGACCAACTACACGAATGATTAATCGTCGAGCCAAGCGAACGTTCGTCCAGCTGGCAAATTTAAATACCAGATCAAATACTTAAACGCCACCCGCTGTGGCACCCCGATTGCAATACTCATCAAAAAGCCATCATTTAAATTAATGATGAACGAACAAAAAACGAGCAGGAAAAAGGCGCAAAATTATTATTAACAAAATCATTAAAAATTTTGAACAAAGCATTCAAAACGAACACCAGTTTAAGAACTTTCGGGAACAATGCACATTTAAATATTTTATGAAAAAAAAAAAAAAAAATTACATTAAAAAGATTTATAATTCATTATGAAAATTAGAGAATCGAAATTGACACGCTGACGTTTAGATACACTTCCAGACAATGGAGTCTGATGTGGACTTGATTTGGGTAGACCAAATAAAAGACTCGAGATGGAAGAGAATAAGCAACGATTGTTTACTTTTTTCGACTTTCTGATATAAAGTTTATATAACTAAATCCAAGTAATAGTAAGATCGTCTGAACTCTTCAACAGAGATAAATAGTAATGCATATGATATACATACAATATATGTGTATATTCATATTACTTGCAGTAGTCCAGATTACGTGATTGAAGTTACAAAAATACTCCCTGCGTAATAATTAAATTTATAATATTAATGAGCACAGCTTTGAGTCTTAAATATTTTTTTAAATTTTATTTCTTACAATAAAATTGAAAATGCAGCGCTGTCACAGCCGCTCATTAATTTCGTCAAACTTTTGCTAGCCAAAACATTTCCATTTTTTCTGCTTAAATCAAACGCAAACAATGTAAAACTCGCATTTTCTTTTTATGAAAAGGCCAAAACGAAAAATATCAAAAGTTAAATCAACATCATTATTTACATGTTGCGTGCCACATGACGTCATCGCTTCATTAATCATACACCCAACGCTGT